AGCAGCAGCCGCCCCTGCCAGGTGGCCCCGGGTGCCCAAGCGGGCGGGTCCAGGGAGGGCAGGGGCTGCCTCCCCCTCCCACCGCGTGGCCCGGGGTTAGTGTCCAACGCTGCCAGCGGGAGCAGCCCGCCTCCGGCAGGGGAGAGGCCACCCACCCCGCTCCAGCCTTCCCCGGGGAGAGGAAGGAGAGCAGTGGCCTGGCCCGGCTGGCTGGGAGGGCGGTGGGGGGTGAGGGTCCGGCCCCCTCCTTCAGTTGCTTTTGTGTTTCCGGCAGGCTGGGCAAATGCGGGCTCCTGCCGAGGTGGCGAGACGGCCCCGCTGAGGACCTGGCTCCGCCATGCCCTGGACTGTCAAATGGCTGAATGGCTACAGCAGCCGCCAGGCCCAGTCCCAGAAGCAATGCAAGAAATCGTCCTTTGCCTTCTACCAGGCAGTGAGGGACCTGCTGCCAGTGTGGCTCCTGGAGGACATGAGGACAATGGAGGCCTTCCATTGGGAAGGTGGCAAGGTGAGCACCTACTCTCCATCCGAGGCCCTCCTCTATGCACTGGTGCATAACCACCAGCCCTATGCCCAGTACCTGCTGAACAAGTTTCCCCAGAGCGCTCTGGCCGTCCCCAGCCCCAGCTTCAGCTGCTGTCAGTCACTGGCTCCTCACCTGGCCATGGCAGTTCGTTATAACCGCATCCACATCCTGCTCGGGATCCTCAAAGCCATCAGAGACTTCCCAGAAAGCGACCGAATTGGCTACCTGGACTGCAGGGGATGCAGCCGTGTGGAGGGTGGTAAAACTGCCTTGCATGTGGCCTGTGAACTGGTGAGACCCGAGTGTTTAATCCTGTTGCTGGGACACGGTGCATCGCCTTGCTTACATGACAGCTCTGGGAACACCCCTTTGGACATCTTGCTCCAGCAGATTTCCCAGACTCCAGCAGTAAACCTGCGCACCAAGCTGCTCTCACTGGACTCCCTTTTCCTGTTCATGCCTCAGGAGCTCCAGTTTCCAATGAAACAACAATTGCTGGACAATCAGCAGCCCTGGCAAGACCTTTTGGGAGAGAACAGATATCAGTGGCTGGCAGGCTTATCCCCCCCCTCTCTGTTCATTAGTGCTATGCGCATCTTAATCAGGACCATATCACCCGAACAATTCCCAGAGGCACTGGAGGATCTGCCCTTGCCAAACTTCCTGAAGCCACTGGACTTGAAGCTGAAGAGTTAGGGGGGTGTCCAAGCAATTCCTGCTTGTGTAATGCAAACAGGCCATGGTATACTGAACGTGTAAAGAGCTGTTAATGCAGCGCAGGAGGGTGTTGGGCAAAACACTGGTTTTAATTAGAACATATTTTTAAAAGGATTATATCTGGCACTTTACATATATTTTATTTATAGTACGTTGTGGTGAGGTGTTTCCACACCACGTTTTATAAGAAGTATTATACAGCATGTATATCCTAGGATTTATGGGTGAATATATTTGTAAATAAGCCTAAATAAACCAGTGACAGATATGATCAAAATGGAAATACAGACATTTTAAATTTCTAAATGATCTATTTATTTGAGAGCTATAGACAGCAAGAGAACTACCCTTTCCTTGGGCTTTGCTTTTCATTTAAATGGGGTGCAGGTTGAACAAGACACTTTATTTTTGCAGCTGTCCTCTTAGGCAGTGGCAGGGATGTGATGCATATTTTCAAAGGTACAAGTGAGAACTTCTCATTCCTGTACAAAACTCAAACGGAATCATGGCGTTACTAAAATAATCCTCCTAAATAAGGCTGACAGGGAGATGCAGGTGAGCAAAAGCAGCGATATATTTGGAAATTGATCCGTTTCCTTTGTCTGCTGCTTTTGCTCTTCAGTGAGATCTGAGGAGGGTGGGCTAGGTGTTTTATCCTCCTTTTCAATGTGGAGGGAATAGAAGTAGAAGAAAAGATGTTCCCTCTAGCCAAGATTCAGGGAGAGGGAGGAAGGAGCTGACCTAACACAGCTTCATCCTTCCAAACCTTGTAGAAGCTCCTTTAGGTAATTGCCAAACACTTGAGGTGCTGTCATTTTAGGAGTGGCTAGGCAAAAATGGAGCAGAGCCTGAGGACAGAGAGTTCTCCTTGCTATCATCCTCCTGATAAACCAACAGGGATTTTCTTAGGTAAGCCAATGTCAGCTTTCTGACAAAACTGGAACCCACCTACCCACATGAGTCTCAAGCCCCAAGAACATGTCTTAGAAGCTCTGGACCTCCACCCTGTGAATCCCCCAAGATCCATGCAACATCCCCATGGATTCTACACACATCTTGGCTCCTTCTTTGTAGTGATCCTGTCTACTCTGCAAGGCCTGTTTTGCCAGTGATGCAAATCATTGCCATCTAGGCCCTGGTTTTCCACCTGGCTTTGTCTTCACTGTCAGAGGACAGCAGATGAGCTGTTGATTCTTGCTCTGACACCTAAGGGTGCCTATACACATGCCTGGATGTGTTCTAATTAGGACGTGCTCTAATTAGGACTCTCTAGAATCACTGCAGCATCATGTGTATAAGAACCCACGGGTTTAAAAATAGCCACTGGGGTACTTTAACCAAAGCTCATCAAATGAGCTTCAGTTAAAGCATCCTGCAGCCCTTTTTAAACGTGTGGGGCTTAATACACATGATGTTGTGGCGTTTTAATTAGAGTGACTCTCTGACGCGCCCCTGCCCCATCTCCAAGCATGCGTATAGGCAGCCTATAATTCTTGCCATGGAGTTGATTTCAGCTTCCTCGCTCCCTCCCAGGTCAGTGCTGAGTGCAAGGAAAAATCCATGCTTAATGCACGTCTCTTTGATCATTAACAAACTTTGGTACAGAAACTGAAAAGCACAGAGCAAGGGGATGTAATTTTTTCATGCTTCAGCTGAATAGATTCTGTGGAGTTCCCACAGTGCAGAATTTCATTTAAAAAACAATACAACTCCACCGCATGCATGATAAATATAGGATATTATAAAGGGCTGTTACATTTCAGAAGTCTTAGATGCAACAGAGAGAAAAATATCTATTCTTAGACTGAGGTCACTGAAAATGCCTTCCAGAAAACAAAACAAGAGGGTAATTGCTCAAGCTAATTAACAAAAAATATTCAGATCTCTTGCTGGAAAGGTTGGCTTTAAATAAACCAAACTGAAGACTTTGCTCTTCCTTAGTTCCCTCATTAATAATAGCATGTAGTCCCTGTAATAAAATCCAGTGAACTACCCAAAACCAATGCTATTGCCCCTACCAACAGCAAAAACATCTACACTACTGGACTCCTCCCCTGAATATTCATCTTTCCTACTGTTTTGGGAACAATGACATGCAAACATAATTAGACTAGAAGTTAAAGCATTTAGTTTTGAGCAGCACAGATCCTTTCGTCTTCTTTAATACACTGAAGAGTACCCACCTACTTAACTCTGGGCCAAAGGGCAAGACCACATGGGTGGGGACAACACCTAGTGCTTTGAAGCATTGTTCAGAAATAAAAAAATTAGGGAAAAAATAGCAATGTTTTTGGTGATGAGCTATGAGAAGAATTTGAGTAGTTTCTGATATCAACATATTTATGACACCCTCATCTTGGAGGTTTATTGAACATTCATGTGTTAAATAACCACGCTGTCACTTTCCAAAGCCATTACATACTGCCATGTTTTCATGAAACTTTTACTTGTTTCCCTCAGCTCACAGAGATCCATCAAAACCAGCCCTTTCCTCTGTGATTATTTTTAAAAATGTAAGCTGTTGGGGGAAAAAAATTATTATACCATCTTTCATGAAAAATACTAGCAGTGAAGGGTAAAGCATGGGACGCATTATGAGAAGATAAAAAAGAGGGGAAATAAGAAACCACTCTCTCAGTAAAACACAGATTCAGTAATTCATCAACATGAACAAGGACATGCTGTCCCGGGGGATGAGCTCTCACTGTCAGGAGGAGAGAACAGTGATTTAGACCATCCGCAGCTCCCATAATGATTCCAAATGAGTCAAGAGACCAAAAGATTTACCTGACCAGTCCTACATGGCTCTGTGCTGTATGAACAGGGACAAAGGACATGGCCTAGTTTCACTGACATTAATGGGGTTTTCTCTGATGGCCTGCCCAGGAGCTGTCTGGCTCCTGACCATAAATGGAAAAGGCATTCCTCTTGAAGCTGATCAGTATCGCAAAATTTCCCCAAATCCTAGCAGAACAGTTATTCAAGGGTGCCCTTTCCAGGCTGCATGAGAAATGTGGATAGCTAGAATCCGTATAAAATTTCCATTAGCATTAATGCAAAGGCTACCTTTGGATCTTTCTGTGAGAGTTGGACCTGAGCCTAAGCTGAAGCAAATGCAAGTGCGTAAGATATCCTTAGATGTAGGCCAGCAGAAGGAAATTATTCAAGATTCATTAGACTGTAGGCCGAGAGAGGCCGTTCTTGTATCTGTTCCCATAATCAGGCTGGAATCAAGTAGAGAAGCAGGAAAGCACGGACAGACTGAAGAAGCCTCTGTCTTCCTTGGTAGAACTGCTACAGAAACAGCATCTAGTATGCGTGTCTGCACTTCAGGAGAGATGTAGAAATACTACAGAGAGTTTAATTATTGAGAAGGGATTTGATTGCTACAAATAAGTACTTACGCATGGAAAAGATACCTGAGAGTAGAGGGGCTTTTTCAACTCTGACATGACAGAGGCTGAAGTTAGACAAATTCAGCCTTGTAATAAGACGATTTTCCTAGCTGTGAGTGTAACAAAACATTAGAGCAACTTACAGGGGAGAAGGTGAACTAACTATCACTTTTGTTAGAAAACTCCTATCGTGCAAATGTGTACAGAAGTTAAAAGGCAGTGCTGCCTCATTCTCTATGGATGAAACCTCTTGCAGGCTCTTGGATAATTAATTTTGGTATAAATAAAGACTCATCATTACATTGTTATTGGCATGAACTCAGGTTCATTGCTGCTGCATTCCTGTTTTTGTAGGAACAAAGTCAGGCCTAGAGCTCTGCCTCTTTGGCTCAATCTGCTTGAGGTCACTGACAGCTCACAGAACATGCAGGCAGTTAACAAGACTCCAGTGCCAAATGCAGAGAGGAAAACTGCACCCTGACTACAGGCACCACACACTGATTAGCTCTTATTTTATTCTTTAAACTGAGTGTTGTACTTGTAAAAATGCTGATTCTCAGCTCTGGAAACAGAAGTCCTTCATTTATTCACAGAATAGATACAGCCTAGGCAATGGCACCATGGGTTTTCCTCGCACTGACTTGCCACTCAACCTCAGCGGCATACTGGAGGGGGCCCTTTCTAGGGAGCTGAATGAATGGGAGTTTTATTTCCATGGATCCTCCAGTCTCATACCTTTCTGTTGAGGCTGCCATCAAAAATGCCAATTAGGGCCAGTTGCAGCTGCACTGTCAGGCTTAATAAAGCAAAAAGGGCAGTTGTGTCAAGTCTCTGTAGGACAAAGCTAGCGATGCTAGATTCTGAAAGACTGTTGCAAAGGCAGGGGAAGGCAACTGCAGAACCAAAGGCCTCTGGCATCAAGGGTTTAGGGAGGTATAGTCTGGATCTCTTGTACCATCTCTATAAGATGATTTCAAAAGCATGAAGAGTATCACACCAGAGAAATCAAGCTGTAGCCCAGCGGTTTCTAGCCTGTGGTACATATACCACCTGTGGTACGCAGACAACCTGTCAGTGATATGCATTAACAGATTTATTATAATTACTTTATATGACAGAAATGTGCTGGTGGTACTTAAGGCTGAACTGAAAAATTTGCTGGTGGTACTTAAGGTTGTATCATTTTAAATTGGTGGTGCTCAATCTGTCAGAGTTTGGGAACCGCTGCTGTAGCCAAGGCTGCTCAAAGGTGATCTGCTGTCAGGAAAAGCTGGGGGTATGTAACACATTCTTTCCAGGGCTCTCCAAGCAGTTGATGTTAAATTTGGATTAGCAAATCCAAAGTGAGCTACAAAAGATTGTTTATGGCCTTTAGATTTTGTTTCTTTGTGATTGGGTGGCACTGTGGCAGGGGGGGAGTGGTCTGGAATTATTTTTGTGGGTTTTCCCCTCTTTTTAAAACTTTTCCCCATGCCTTAAAAATGTCACTGACAACTCTGATTTTCCCTGGTGTTGCCAGAGGAGCTTTGGAGCACGTCTACTGTGATACTGTGTGTATTATGATTGCAGATGGCGCATTCCATTTTTTAGCACAGGGGGTTTTATCCAAAATGTTAAATTACTTGCTCAAGTGAAATAAATATTAACATAAAGTCAAGTTTTAAATGGTCTGCCTAAAAAGTCCTTTTCCCTCTCATCTATCTCAGATTTCCTTACTCTCTAGACTCACTGTACTATCAACATTTGGATTCTATTCTGAACTTGTCCATAAGCATCCTGTGTAGTTCTGGGCACAATGCTTAGCCAAACATTTACAGACTTGGGTACCTTGAATTTAGTGGAAGTTGTAGGTGTTCAGCACATCTGAAAATCAGTTAATTGACAAAGACATGGATTAGGGAGTCTAATATGAGTTTCCAAGGCTTGAACATGTAGTTCCATAGTGGATTTGTTGCAGACAGATAAGGGGGTCACAAGTTTTTTGCAGGAAGAGAGGAGGGGCAATTGCTAAACATGCTCTTCATTATGTGAAATGAGGTAGGCAGATGGGAGTTTGGTAAGGGAGGCAAAGGGATTGGACAGGTGGGAATCTTGGCCCATGGACACGGGATACAGGAAGAGATGAGGTCTTTGATATAAGCATAGGGAGAAGACAGGTTGTTTTGAAGTGAAGCTTGAACTTAATTAACTTAGCAATGAAAATGATGAGAACGCAGTGCAGAAACTCAGGGAACGGTATGACTAGAAATGGGTCTGAGCGACAATTGCAAATCCAAATTTGCTCCACATTACAGTCTGAGGTTTCCATTTGTAACAGACACGGCTACTGACACTAGCAGATTATTGCGTTGCATCACCTTTTCCTCAAAGCAACATGCCAGACCTAGATAAACCAGGCTCCCATTCCATGTGCTTCGCATTTAAACAGCATTTTAGGCTTCTGAAATGGTATGCAAGCTACTGTTCATGGCACTCCTGGAAACACTTTGTCCCCACTGAAGAAAGGAAACTGACAAAAAGCATCATCTTAAATCTGTTTTGCACAAGCTGGATACTGATTGCTTTCTAACAGCCTGTAGCCAAGAAAGATAACTCAGCCCTCCAGGCCTAAAGCAGGACCCCAGTTCAGTTCCCCCTCAAGTCAATGCTACCATGAAATGGAAGTGATAGAGAAATGTCAGGAACTGAAAGGACTCTCCGCTATAACCAGAGACTGACCTGCGCTGAAAAATCACATCAGAACATCCTATGGATTTTGAGAGAGTTCAAATCTCAGTCAGACCTTCATGTAATAGACCCTTCCTCCTCTGCTGCATGGAAATACAGCCTATGTCAACCCCTTCCCTTCATTAATATCTTGGCTTGTCTTACTAACATATACAAGTTTCGGAGACCAAATGTACGCGCTGTATACTGCTTGCTGTCATGCCAAAAGGGGTTAATTTGTTTCCTGTTCTTAGTTTTGGGGTTTTTTTAATTATGTCTTTTCTGATGTAATCAGGCTGCAGTAAACTGTGTTAATTACAATACGCTACATTCATCTTTAAAATCTAGCATCATTTTCATGAAATAAAGTCCAAGGTAACATTTTAGAAGAAAACCTAAAAGTAAGTATTTTAAAACTCACAGTTACAAAGAGAACGATGTCTGCTGAGGATTAGTGTCTTTGGTGCCTTTTCCTCAAAAACCATCTGTTATCAGTCTCCATCTGTGAGAAAAAAAGGGCTACAGTTGTAGGCTTAAAGATAAACCCCAGACTGGCAAGCCAGGGATACAGAATCCAAGCCTGCTTATTTCAGCTCTCTGTTAATAATGAACACAGAAAGTGTCAGAGCCAAATGATCTGACCAAAAGTCACACTCCTGATTTGTTGAACCCGAACACATATGAAAATGTCAGCCCCGGGATTTTCTTCTCTCATATGGAAGCTTTGCTTCCAGAGAAGCTGTGTACCATCATCTGGGAAGAGGTTGTTTCTTTGGATCTTGCAGAGAGAAAGGCAGACCAGCTGCTGTAGATGTACCCTGTGCCCTGGAGCACACCTGGGTTGTGTTTTCCTTAGTCTGTTTTCCTCCTCCACCGATCAGATCTGTGAAAGCTACAGAAGCAGCTTGCTCCATACAAGATGGAGCCCACTGCTGCATTTAAACAACAGTCCACAAGGTCAGAGAGCGGCACTATCAGGCTGTAAAGAAAGTCTCACCAACAGCTTCTGGCTCAAACAACAGGAGAGAGGCTGGGGCCTCAGACCTTGTGAGAAGGTAGTTAAAGGAAAATGAATTGGGAGCATCTAAGTGCTCTACTAGCAAGTGTAATTTCCAATAAATATAACAAAAAAAATGTGGTAGAAAGTCTCAGGAAGGAAGAATAAGATCCCATTGACACAGTTTTCCCACTGGCACTGAACTATCAATGTCACAGGGGGAAGGAGGCTGCTGTATGACCTTACCTGGTACATACTCAAAAGAACTAGCATATCAGGAAGAGCTTATGGCAAGGCAAAAATCAAGACTTCTTCCCTTAGGTGAACTGCTATTGAAACCAATGGGAATTTCTTTCTTTATTTAGAACCATACAACCTGACCCAGGATGCTTAAAAAACTTCCCCCTCCAGAAACCCGTCATCACACACGTTAAGCATTCCCATTTAGCCATGGAGGGAAGGATTGAGGCCAAATGGTCTGCTCAGAGCCCACCATCTTTCACACCCAAACAAGCTTTGATCACATTCTGGCTACTCCCCAAAAGGAAATGTCATAAGCTAAAACTTGGATCCCATATCAGCCCCAAGCTCTCATTGCTTTCAGCGAGACAAGGATGGGATCCATTATGGAGGCAAGACTGGCATAGATGCTAAACGCTGCCCATTACAGAAGCATGAACTGGTGCAGACCAACAATGCAAGCTGCAAAGATGGGGGTTATGTAAAGTCGCTTTCCCTTTACAGTGCCAGAACGTATTCATTGAATTTTCCATTTAAAACTTAGAATGGGGCCTCCTGCTTGTTAAGCAGGGCATCATCCCAAAGTAGGTAAAGGAGCAGGGGATCCCTGATCTCCCTGGCCTGACTGGTAGTTTTGGGGTGGTGTTTTAGGAGCTGGCTGTAAAACGTTTACTTCTCCCTCTATGTAATGTCCATTAGAGTTGCAATCACTGGGTATGCTTGAGCTAAAGCTCCACTCCCCAAGTTAAATTAGTGACAGGGAGCAAAAGAACATTTTATCCTCTGCGAACCATGTCTTCACCAAGCTCTGCCAGAACCTGGAGCCATTAGGCCTTCACCTGGGATGGTTGAGATAGGTTGTTGGGTTGTATAACGCTTACTTTTTTGGTGATACTTCATGTGGCAATATGGACAACAGAGATATAGCAGTTTAGGTTGGATGGCTTGTACTGTTTTGGGGTAAAAGTACCCAGAGAAACGGATGGATGCTTTATCATCGAAGCCCTTAGTGAAATCCATTCACATACTTGAAACAATGGTTCTAACTAGTTCTTTGTTGCAGCACGCTGGCCAGCCTCCAGATAATCCAGGCAATTGGTAAAATCAGGTGAGAACCACAGAAAATGCTATACTGGGTAAAGTAGTAGAGTCAATAATAGCTAAGCTATTAAGAGACCATTTGGGCACCTGGGAAGCAGAGGGATCAGAGTAGGTTCAGCAGTTCTGGCTCCATGTTTATCCACCATCATATGTTAAAAACCTGATTTAGCTTGGATACCCCACCCCCTCAACCTTCCCTTTTACTAGTGTTGGCAGGCAGACAGCAGTGTCCTGACTCTGCAGCAGAAATTCCAAGTCCAAGACATAACCTGAGGTTACGTGCCTTGTTCAAGGTGGGGGAATGGGGAGAAATTCATTTGCTGACTCACTCATGGGTTCAATAACTTTTAAATGTAAAGCAGATTTTTAAAAATGTAGTCAAATCACATAACATTTCTAATTAGTTAAATATACCCAATGAAAAGCTTCCTTACTGTGCAAACAGTAAGGCAGTGGAACAGATTGTCCAGAGAAGCTGGAGAATCTTTTGTTGGAGCTTTTTAAGATGAGGTTGAATAAGCACTGGACAGAGATGGTTTAGAGGGCTGCAGCAGATGCCCTGAGGTCCTTTCTAATGCAATGATTCTGTTATTCTGTATCATTGATAAAAACTCTTTTGAATACCTTGGCTGTATGGCTACAGCTCCATGGACTGGGTGGGCCATGTGACCTGCAGACCTCATTGAATCCACATCTCTGTATTTGTAAGTGCAAAACTGGTAGTTGTACAGGGCTCTGCTGAACATGTGACACATCCCTCTGTGCCCCATCTGCAAAGGATATGAATTGTTAGTCATCAGCTTCAAAACCTCCACTCTTTGACTTATGTTATACAGTATCTGGTTAGGCTCTTAGCTCTGGAAGTCTCTCTCTCCATCTTGGCCAACACACCTGGGATATTGAGGCAGTCATCATGGCACAGGCTAGTACCCAATTCATCTAGGTTCTTGCTCAGTACCAGCCAGACTATGAAGTAGTTGCTCTGACTCACTGTGTGTGTGCAAATAATGCATCTTATCATACCTGTCTGGGATCAGCAGGAACTTTGTGCACAGCTCATCCATTGCATGGACCTTTAATAATTGGGCCTTGCAACCAGACTGCACAGTAACAAAGCCAGAGTTGTGCTTCCCAACTGAAAAGGCCTTAGGTCTTACTACATTTACCCACCATGCCTTTGCATAGCTCCTGTTATCTTTTCACTTCCAGTGCATTACTACGGGAAATGGTGTCCCCTGGTCCCATTTATTTTTTTCCTTCTTGAAATGAAACTGTGAACTGAGAGTTCTCAGAACTGAGGGGGGAATGCAGCTAGCTGGAGCCAGCAGACGGGAAGATGTACAAGCTCTCCACAATCCTCTTCCCATTATTCAGCCCCAAATGGCAATGCTCTGTTTACTCCCCTACTGCGCCTTTCTAAAGAGGAAGCTCTGGGGTTACATTGTTTTTGGATGAGTCCCCGCTGTTACTCTGGATGCTGCCTTCGCTTATCTTTTCACAGTGTTTGCAGAGTGCACGATGGACAGAAGCAGCGCAGCAGCTGTAAGAAATCTTGAATTCTGAGCTGTAAGTATACTTGGAAGCCCTTTGTTCTGGAGTCAAAAGAATCCTTTCCTGCCTCCCACTTGGGATTTGATGCTTTAGAAACAGTTGCCCAGATACCAACAAAATCCTGTATAGCCTCCATGCTAACAAAAATAGCGTATTCAGATTGATTCAGCCCTACTCCTCTGGGCTGTGACCTCACCAGACCCCATTAGCTAAGCAGGGGTGAGCTGAATCTGTGCTGAGATGCAAGACTTCTAGGGATACTGATGCTGACGATTCAAACGGCAACCTTCTTGATGCGACACCATGCTACTGAAGCTATGAACTCTATAATCAGATGGGGACTCCGAGAGACCCTGGCCATTCCTGGTCATTAAAGATAGCACATCACTTTTCATAAGAAGAGACCTGTCATCTAACTTACAACATGTATGCAACACTCCTTGCTACTGACTGCTCTGTTTAACAGGAAAAACCAACTTTTGCTACTAAGTTGATGGGCTTTGGCTCAGCTGGGAGGAGTCCATTCCTCAGCTGAGTCCTGAATGCAAGTTCTACCGATAACCCACATTAAAGTCTCAGTGGGTTAGCTCCCATGTGCTGGCCAAGTTCCAGTCTGTGGAATGGTATTGTAGTTACATACCTGCCTGTGGCTGTAACTGGATAACACAGCTCTTCACTGGTTTCTTGTGCTGTGAGGCCCTTGTAATGACTCCAATATCCCTTGGCAGAGCCAGGTTATATTGTAGGGGAAGCACACTCTGGGCAAGTACTTAGAGACTGATGAAAATAGATGCAAGCTATGAATCATATAATTTTCTGCTTATGGCCCTGCCCCCCCCCCCATCATACCCATACCAGAGATCAAAACTAATTAACCTCATCTTAGGCTCTTTAAATTTTACCAACACACATGAAATAAAACTTGTGTTGAATGTGTTAATGTACAGCTTTCTTCTTGGTTTCATGCTTCCTTTGATATAGCAGTCAAATGGCAGAACTATACTTTTGCAGCTGACAAACCACAGATCAACTAATACTGCTTTCTCAAGTGCACTTTATCTACTGGGAAGGTTGGTGGGGCCTGATTCTCTGAGAATCCTAGGTCCTACAACTCCAGGTAACATCAGTGCATATCCCCAGATTTTCTACAATCCAGGAAGCAATCAACATGATATAAAGGGGCAAATCAGAGAAACAGGAGATTGCAGGGCCCTATTAAGTTCATCTCATCCCTCTGTGTCAGTACACAAATTATTTCCCTACTCCTAATTTTCCATTGCTTTGTTCATTTCAAGCAATGAGACTTCCACCACTTCCTGTGAAAGACAATTGCAGAGTCTAATAAACCTTATTGTCTGGAAACGTTTCCTGCTATTGAGCCTGACTTTTCCTTTCCTCAGGTTCACCCCACTGCTTCTTTGTATGCCCCTAAGTAATTATCCTGCCCTACGTTCACCCAATATCACATCGTTTAATCCGGCTATTCATATTAGTTTCTTGGAATATTTGTCCACAAGTTCTTCTTTCCAGCCCCTTCACGTATGTGAATGCCTTCTGGAACTCGGATATTCTAAGTTACGTGGAGTGCCATAGCTGCAACCCCACCGATGCCAGAGAGTAGCAGTCAGCAACATTTTTTAGTGGCAGGCTGGAATGACCCAGCTCAGTTTGAGGCAGGCTGGCACCAGGATCTAGCCCCTGCCACTGCTGCTTCTCCCAGCTGTGGCATAGGCAAGCTCCCACCACCACCACTTCTCCTGTCTGCAGCATGGGCAAAGCCCATGGCCTCCACAACACCACCGAAGCCCCCCAGCTTTGCAGACCAGACTTAATGGCTCTGTGGGCTGGATCCAGTTTGCAGGCTACAGGCTGATGACTGCTAAGAGCAGGGCCATCCCAGGGGCGGGGTGAATTGGGGCGACTGCCCCGGACCCTGCACTTTGGGGGGCCCTGTGGACCTGGGTGGAGCAGCAGCAGTGTGGAGCTGGGCGAAGTGGTGGCTCCGCGTCCAGCCACTGGCCACCCCCCACCACCGCCCATGGCAGCAGGAGCTTCTTCAGGTCCAGGGCCCAAGGGATTGGAGCTGGGGCTGGGCCCCACATGGGCTAATTTGCCCTGGGCTCCGTACCCTGCTTGGGTCAGCTCTGGCTAAGAGAGAGACACTAAAAGAACACATTAAAAAAGGCATAATTCTTTGCATCATCATAGCACCTACGAACCTGCAGGACTAGCTGCTGCATAAATATAGGCCAGAAAGAAAGTCCCTGCCACAAATCCTTATGCTCTACCATATTTACTCAAATCCAAGATGACTCTGAATTAAGATGACTCCCCCCCAATTAGGTTCTGGATCTGGAAAACTGAAAATGTATAAATTGGTTATAATTTTCCATGTAAAGAATCTAATTGTTGCAGGGTTCATCTCATCACCCGCACTGCTGCACCAGGGAAAGCAGCAACAGCAGTGGGGCAGGTGACTTGGGCGGGCAAGTAGCCCCTAAAATGAACTCTCACCTTTTGCCCCTCTGCAGTCTGAACCCCTGGCAGTGCCTGCACCCCTGTCACCTGCCCTCTGCACCCCCAGCCTGCTCCTCACCACCTCTGCCCCCCACCTGTTCCCCACAGCTTCTTCCATCCCCTCACCAAACTTCCTGCTAGGCTCAGCTCTAGCTCTAGATCCATTCCCTTCCAGGCACAGAGCACATGCAAGCTCCAGCCGCTGCCTGGCCACCAGCAGTACTCTGGGGCCATGCTGCTGGTGCTGCATAGCCAGGCAGGGGCTCTGGCCTTCATGTGCTCCATGCCCAGGAGGAAATGGAGCTCTGCCCGACAGCAAGCAGCAGGGGACATGGGCAGAGGCTGTAGTGAGCAGACAGAAGCAGGCAGCTGCTGCAGCTATGACTGGCTCAGACCCAGAGTCAAGATCCGCAGCAACTGCCTGTTCCCCCTCCTCCTCTTTGTACTCAAATCCATGATGAGGGACTCCTCCCCCATGTTGAACAAGGGGAAAAACCTAATCTTGGATTCAGGTAAATACAGTATGGCACCAAAGGGTTAAGAATGGAGACTACTTTGCCCCCGATGAAGTTTTAATACTTCCCATGGTGCTTTGGTAGGCTGGTTCTGGACACTTGTTAACAATACCTACTCTTAGTTCTTAATTTCTGTCTAAAATACTGCCTTTGA